CTTTATTCCTCATACAACAAGCCGTACGAAGGGGAGATATCGACTACTTATTCTTGATGGTCATGGAAGCCATCTAACTCCTTAATTCGATCAAATTTGCGGTAAAAATGATGTTACCCATTGTGTATGTAACCTCGTTCATCATATCTCTTGCAGCCTTTTAATGTGAGCTGCTTATCTGTTTTAAACGACAATATGGACGGCTTGTCGAGCAGCGCGTACGACTTGGATCTAAGCATATTGATAATCCCTAGCAAATGCAATAGTATGCAAAGGATCCCGGTCCATGCTTCCTAAATTGTTATGTAGCTAAGAAGTCTCTCCAACTAGGTCAAAGCTGACTAGGTAGTATGTGGGTTGCTGAGACACATAAGCAGGAATGCTGTGGTGCAATGCAATTTCAGACAGCCAACCTAGCTTGTTATTAACACCCTGTCCTTGGAAAACAATTCCTGTCTTTTCACTTATTATTTCTTTTTGATCTCTCAATAATAGAAACTAGCTCAGGACTAATTCACGCACAGACATGAGGGGTCAACTCTGAACAAAGAACTGAATTGTGTCGTGGGACCACAGCCATGCTTTTCTTACAAGTACCTAGGCAGACAGAGTACGAATTATGCGATAAAAGCAACTTAAAGCCCGGGTACTCTGACTTCTTATAAGCCTAGAAATTCGTTTTCCATAGACTCAAACTCGTCCCGTTGTTATCTGTACAGACACATTTGATCTTAGGTTAATTTATCACCATTCATCTTGTACAATGGATTCATTCCACAAAGAGACTACAGCAGAGGAGGTGCTTGATAAGCTTGGAAGGTTAGCAGAAAGCAAGACGTGTATGAAACCCGGTCCTTAATTCACGCTGGTGAGCCGAGAGTGACAATATTCCTATTCATCCTCAAAGACCTTATCACAGGTACTAGCAAAGCAGGAATCGGGGCTGCAGTAGCTTCCTATTTGGCTACTGCTAGCCCTAAGCTCTTGATTCTCGCCTCGCGCAACGACTCTAGAGTAACCGCCGCCGTGATCGAAGACATCAAACTCAAGAACCCAAATGTCAAAGCTGTTTTCCTGTACCTTGATCTCCTGGACACTGCTACTGTCCAAACTGCCGTTGAGAAAGTCAAGGCCCTGACAACTAGAATTGATCGACTAATCAATAATGCTGGGATAATGGGTGCAGAA